AAAATGTAAAAAGACAGCTAATAAGACATTAATTGTAGGTGTCCTTAATGTTCTGTCGGAGCTTGACAAATCCAACAGAAAGATAAGAAAATTAAAGATAAACATAAGGATAGAAAAACAATTTGATAGGTGACTCTTGGGAAGATGGCCATATGAAAGATGAAAGGGAGCCCAACTCTCCCACTTTACTAAGTAGTTCAACATATTGAACGATGACTGCAGTGGATAGAACACCAGCCTGGATTCAGGAGGACCTGAATTCAAATCCGGCCTCAGACACATAACACTTACTAGCTGTGTGACCCTGAGCAAGTCACTTAACCTCATTGCCTAACCAAAAAAAAAAAAAGAGAGAGAGAGAATGAAGAGAACGATGACCAAAAATCCAGAGGAAACTTCATAAACCAGCTCAGGACTGAACAAAGAGAAAATGAAAAGTTACATAAATTGAAAGCAGAGTATTGCACATACCACACACTCCCATAAAAAGTTTTTAAGAATGCAAGTAAACAAAGTAGAAGTCCTGCATGTGGAGGCCCCTTGACAGGTAAGGTAAGCCTTACAGGCATAGAAAATACAGTACCTTGACTAAGAGTTTAAAAAAGGCAGTGGACCATGGGACAGCCTTAGCAGTAACACCAGAAACTAGAGTTGCAACAATAGTGGTGACTGGGAAAACCTGGGGGAAAAAGAGCAGGGCAGTAGTTTTGAGTAGCACTTTGGTTGGGAACAGCCAACCATAGAGCTCTGACAGAGAATCTGGAGCCTGCTAGAATTCTGAGCCGAAGCACACAAACAAAAGTATAAACTTAGGGCAGAAACCTAGGGAATCAAAGTCAAGACCAAAAAGGATCCAACCACCTCCATTCAAAAATGTGAAAGGGGGCTGAGCCTGGCCCTGAAACAAATCTCAAATCAGAAACTAAGGGTGGAGATAGAAGACAGAGGAGAATAACAAAAGACACCAAATTCTATAAAGACGTATTGTGGATCAAGAGGAAAATCTAGAAGAAAAAAATAACTCCACAAAAAGTAAAAGCAGAACCTCAGAGGGGGAAAAGTAGTTTGGGCCATAAGAACTACAAGACTACCTGCAAAAAATGATACAAGAGAGAAACATGATGCAAAGGGGAAAAATTGGAGAATAAATGGCTTAGAATAAAAAGTAGAAAACTTTATTCAAGTAACAAACTCCCTAAATATTAGGATGAACCAAAGAGAACTCAATGACTCCATTAGACAGTTAAATATGTAAGGTGTCTCAAAAGTCTTGGTGTAGTTTTAAACTACTAAAGCCTCAAACTGCACTAAGACTTTTGGGACACTCTGTAATGGAACAAAATTTAAAATTGCAAAATAGAAGAAAATATAAGTCATCTACTATCAAAAACAACTAGCCTAAAAAACTGGTCAAGGAGAGACAATTTAAGAATTTATCTGAAACTCTCTAAAAACAATCACAATTAAAGCATTGATGCCAAATTTTTAAAAATCATAAATGTAAATTACTCAGATTTATTAGAACCAGAGGGTAAAGTGGAAACAAAACAAAACCACCAGTGACCTCTTGAAAGAAACTTCTCTAACTCCCAGAAAACCCTTCTGAAAACATCTTCCTGAAAACTTCTAGGAATGTCATAAACAAAATTCAGAGCTTCCAGATCAGATCAGCAAACAGACAGAAAAGACCTCAGATACCAAGGTACTAGAGCCAGGATCACACAAAACCTGACATCTACTAAGTCGTGAAATATAATATGCCAAAAGAAAAAGAAGACTTAAAACCTATGTTCTTATATTAATAGAGGAAGAAAAGATAAGTATCCCTTTGGAATGCTAATGTCTTAAAAGATTACATTGGCCATTAAATAAGACAGGCGGAAAGATAAAGTTGACCTTGAGAGAGGAAAGAGAAAAGGGAATACACTAGGAAAGAAATGAAGAAGGTAGGAAACTTACTATTTCTCATATTTGAGCATATTTGGGATATGCTAGATTATACAAAAATGGAAGAATGAGTAGGGGGACTGGACATCTTATGAACCTCACTCTTTGCTGAACTAGACGAAGGAGAGTTAAACATACACACACACACACACACACACACACACACACACACATACACACACACAGAGCTTGGTATGGATACAAAAAGCCTCAGGGATAGGGGAAGAAGGGATTTGTGAAGGGGTTGGCCAAACAAATTGCTGTGTAGCTACACATCTTGTACTTGTAAAGCTGATTGGATGAGTGGTTCTGTCTTCTCTCTGTTATCTGCCTGCTATCATCTGCTCCAGGCTCCTGCAGTAGTCCTAGGCCTTTGATATTTCTGTCTTACTCAAAGTGGTTTTAAAAGCCCTTTTTCTTTTTCTTAGTATTCATCATAAGCCTCAACTCTTTCTGAGTTTTAGTGTTCTTAAGAATATGCTTTGGGGACCATGTCATTCTTTTAAATGTCTACTTTTATTTGTCCTTCTTGCCATCTTCCATATGTTATGGACATATTTTTTTTTCAAACTGCAAGTCAATGCATCGCCATCATTCTGTTTAGATGGCTCCTCTCTTGCTTACTTGTCAGAACAACATCATCACAGTTTCTTTCTTGAGAACTCCCCATGCTTCTTGAACGTTTTTGCTCAATAAAATTTTATATGTTTTTTGTAAAAAAAAGAAAAGCTTACTTTTCCAAAATCTAGAATATCTCACTATGCTTACCTTTGCACTCCTGCTGTATCATTGTCTAAAGTAAATAAGTCATACCCTTCCACAGTTCTAGAATCACAGCATTTCAACATTGGAAGGGACTCTGTAGCTATCTGGTCTGCTCTGTATATCAAAAAGGATTTCCCTTACAATATAGTAATAGTTAACATGTATATTACTGTGTGCCAGGCACTGTGCAAAATTGCCTTATTATGATTTTGTCATTTGATCTTCACAACCCTGGAGGTATTATCCCCATTTTACAGATGAAAAAACTGAGGCAAACATCATGTTAAGTGACTTACCCAAAGTCACACACCTACTAAGTGTCTGAACTCAGTTTGCTTGGTGTTCTATCCACTGCACCACTTATCTGCCCTCAATATACACAAGTTTTCATCAAGCTTTTGCTTGAAAACATCCACTGAGAGGGAACCCAATAGTCTTTCCAAAGCTGCCTATTCTACTTTTGAATTGTTCTCATTGTCCTGTAAATTATTTTTATTTCTATTTTATATTTATAAAGTACCTTCACTTCCCAATATTTCTCTTCCTCCTCCCCCACCCACAGTCATGCTTTACAACAAAGAATTAAAAGAAAAAGGAACAGTTCAGTAAAACTAATCAATGTATGAAATCTGACAGTATATGTGTTCTTCCAAAACCAGAACCTCTCCTTTTCAAAGGGGGAAAGGGGGTGCATCCTCCTATCACCTTTGGGGTCAACAGCACTATTTCAATTTTTCTGATTGTTTTTCCCCATTACAATGCTACAGCTATTGTGTGTATATGTCTATGCACACATATATCTATATTTCTTGCTTCTGCTTAGCTTACTTTGTTGTTATTGTTATTCATCCTTCATTTTCAAAGAGGATCAATGATATCCTGAGTGATATCTTGACTTGTGTGTGAACTGGACATAAGTGAGCAGAATTGCACAAAGTAATTATCCCTATTCTCTCTTCCAGAGTCATCAAAGTCCAATAACAAACAAAAGTCAGAATAACTGGCAATGGCAGTTATCAGCAGATGACCTTGGCATCTTTGATATCTGTCCAAGCTCTAAGCACTCCACGGTGCCTGCTTCAGCCACTTTCATGGCCATTTTGCTGGGGGAAGTCTTTACATGCTTGGAGTAGACATCCCCCATTACCTCTTTCCTATGGGTAGCCCTCCCATTTGTCCTGTGTACTGAGCCATGGTTCCCCCAGCAGATAAACTGGGCTGGTCCTTTAAGAGTAAGTTTAGCCTTTTTTTTAAAAAAAAAAAAGCTTGAAGTCAAAGAGACCCTGCCTGGAGAGAAATTGCATTAGATAGTAATATACCTTAGATTCCACAGCCTGGAGTGATGGAGTGGACAATGGACAATGGGTGCTGTTTTCATAAGTGGTGACTGTTTAGAAGGTATCTGTGTTTATATCCTTTAAACTCTGACATTGATTCTTTTAATTTCTTAATTAGTAAAGACATTTTTATTGCATTTTATGGTCCATGAGTACCCTAGAGCCTGAATCACTGGACTGACCTAAGGTAGGTGTGACTCAGGTTATGTGGGATAAGGTGTGAGTTGGGATCCTGAGAAGAGAGTGGAAGGTTTGGAATATTCACCTTGGGAGGCATTCACCACCTTAACGAAGGAGTTAATGCTGAATAAAAGGATTGCTGTGTAGCTGTAAGAACCCACTTGAGGCGACCAGTTATAAAATGAGAGCTAGGAGATAACAGATGGACTTGAGTTCTGTACTGGCCTCTTGATCCCCATTCTTGCTCATGCCTTCCCTCTATTGATTTTTCTCCTATTTAGCCTATGTATAGTTTGTTTGTTGTGCATAGTTGTTTTCATCTTGTTCCCTCATTAGACTGTGAGATCCTTTTTTGTGTGTGAGCTCCTTTTTTTTGCCTTTCTTTGTATCCTTAGTGCTTACCACAGTACCTGGCACATAGTAGGCATTTGACAAATGCTTCCTGATTTATTGATCCAAAAAAAAAAAAGAATCTTTTTATTCAGTAGCTTCTCTGTGAAAGAATTATGGAAAGATTTGGACAAGAATAATACAGGATGAAAAGTTGTAGGTGCTATAGGAAAGAACAAACTGGTGAGATCACAGATCCATGAAAGTAAGAATAACCTAGTTATATAATCATATATATATATATATATATAATCATATATATACATACATATACATATATATGTATATATATATGTGTATGTGTGTGTGTGTGTGTGTGTGTTCTATGAGGTAGATAGTACAAGCATGGTTATCCTTCTTTATTCCTTCATTTCTCACCAGGTTGCACTCCTCCTGACTTTTCTACTCACCATGCCCTCAGAAACTTCTTCATCCTGGAACATCACCTAACCCTGGAATGTCCACCTTGGAAGTACCTTCTACTCCTCCCTCTGCTTGGGTGGATCCTCCTAGAACCTCCAGTTAAGGGCGCCCAGACCAGATATTTCTTCATTTCCTACTAGATTGCAATACAGATTTCTCTGTCATGCCTTGGAGCCAGTTTCCTTTCTCACCTATCCCTTTCCCACTTTTTTGCATGGTCTTCTAAGTTGTTCTTCTCTACCCCCCCCACCACATTGGAATATAAACTCCTTGAGAGTCATTCTTTTTGTTTGTATTTATATTCTCAGCACTTAGCTCAGTGTCTGTAACAAAGTAAGTACACAGCAAATACTTGTGTTTTTTACAATAAGGAAACTGAATGGAGGAATGGGTAAGTGACTTACCCAGGGTCACACTGTAAGTTTCAGAACTGGGACTCGAAAATACTCAGATCATTTGACCCCAAGATCAGTGCTCTTTCTACTATACTGTAGTGTAACCAACATTCAAGGATTTACAATTTTGTGGCTTTTTTTTTAACAGCTGAAAAGGGAAAGATGTTTGTGGAACTCCAACTCTATAGGACTACTGGAAGATTGTGCTGACTCTGAAAACTTACTCATTTTCACTGGCAGTGGGAGATTAAGAGCAGTTTGATGTGGTGAATATCACCTTTATTTAAATTTTCTTTTATCCCATTTGGAAGTTATTTAATTTCTAGTTATTTTTTAAATTGTCATCTTCCAGCTCTGCTCACTAGGTGGCGACCTTGCTTCATTAGCAAAACCAACTGCAGAGCCGTTTTAAAAGAATTTTTCAGGGTCATGACCTGGACAAAATTTTAAAAACAGGCATTCCTTGGCCATCATGTAGAATTGTGCTGTTGGTCAAAAAGTCAAGTCAGCAGCACTTAACCGCCTACTCACGTGACAGGCACTTTGCCAAGTCCTAGTGTAAGAAAGAAAGGCAAAAAGATGGTTCCACCATCAGCTGTAAGCTCACATTCTAATGGGAGAAACAACTTGTAAAAAATCATACGAAGAAGATAGAGTGTAAAAAAGAGGTAATCTCAGAGATAAGGTGTTAGCAATAGGGAAAGGCCTCTTGCAGAAGGTGACATTTAAGGTATCTTTAAAAGGGAGCCAGAAGGTGGAGGTAAGGAAGAACATTCTAGGCACAAAAGATAGCCAGTGAAAATGCCTGTAGATAAGAGATGGAGTGTCATGGGTGAGAGAGACAAGAAGAAGGCCAGCGAACTGGATTGTAGAGTGACAAGGCAGAAAGTCATAGTCAACGAGTCTAAAATAATAGGTTGGGGCCTAGTTATAAAGGGCTTTAAAAGCAGGAGATTTTAGATCTTAAGCTGAAGATAATAGGGAGGCAATGAAGTTTTATTTAGGTAGGAGAAGGGTGACGCAGGCAGACTTATGCTTTAAGAAAAGTACTTTAGCACTGAATGGAAGATGGCCTTGGAGTGGGGGGCTGGAAACAAATCAGAGGCTGTTGTAGTAGTCCAGGCATGAGGTGATGAGGGCTTTTACAGCAACTGTGTGAGTAGAAAGAAGGAGACTATAGGAGATATTGTGAAAGTAGAAACGATAAGACTTGGCAACATTACTAGATGTGTGGTTAAGTGCAAATGAGGAGATGATGATGACACTAAAATGATGAAACTGGGTGACTGGGAGGATGGTGGTGCCCTTGACAGTAATGGGGAAGTTTAGAAGAAGGGCAGCTTTGGGGGGTTCAGTTTTGGACACGGTGAGTTTGAGTATGTCTTTAGGACACAGGTCAAGATGTCCAAGAAGCAACTGGAAATATGAGGCTGGAGGTCGGGCGAGAGGTTCAGACTCAATAAATAGATCTGAGGATCATCTGAATAAAGATGATAGTTGAACCCATGACACCTAGCCACAGGCTTAGCTATAGATAGCACCACTATCACCAAGTAAAATAGTATAAAGGTAGAAGAAGAGTGTTCTGGATAGACCCTTCAAAGACACCCACAGTTAGTGGTTAATAAAGCCTTGTTAGCTGATTGACTAAATACTAAATAATACTCATTTTAGTTGTTGTTCAGTCATCTTTCAATTATGTCCAACTCTTCATTACCCTATTTGGGGTTTTATTGGGAAAGATACTGGAGTAGTTTGTTATTTCCTTCTCTGGCTCATTTTACAGATGAGAAAACTGAGGCAAACAGAGTTAAGTGACTTGTCCAGGTCATATAGCTAATAATCTGTATTAAAATCTGAGGCCAGATTTTAACTCAAGTTTTCCTGACTCCAGGCCTGGTGCTGTATACACTGTGCCACTTTGCTGTCCCATATAACATTACTACATTCCAATTCAAGAATTTGATATGAATTTTTTGTTTGATGCAAATTCATTATTCAATGTTATTGAATATTCATTTCATTTAATTTAATATTATTCAATGTTTATTGAACTTAATTTTACTGTGTCTGTTGAAATAAGATGAAATGACTTATTTTATTCTATTTTCTTAATGTAAATTTGGGTTAGAAAGTGAGATGACCAAAATTTAAGTACCTTATATATTCTCAGAACAGCTAGGTGGCACAAAGGAATGAGTGCTGGGCCTGTAGTCAGGAAGATTCATCTTCCTGAATTCAAATCCAGCCTCAAACACTTAAGTGGGCAGGCCACTTAACTCTGTTTGCCCCAGTTTCCTCATCTGTAAAATGATCTGGAGAAGGAAATACAAACCCCTCCCATATCTTTTCCAAGAAAAACCCAAATGGGGTCCCAAAGAGTCAGATACAACTGAAATGACTGAACAACAATATATTCTCAGTAAATCAATCAATAGGCATTTTAATAAGCGTACTACATGCTAGGAACTGTACTGGGCTAGGGGTACAAAGAAAAGAAAGGAAACAATCCTTACTCGTAAGGAATTTAAATTCTCCGTTTCATATCATTACATTATTTTAGTCCAGGGGCTTTCAACCTAAAGAGTACCTGTGAATTTGTTTTAAAAATATTTTGATAACTGTATTTCAATATAATTGGCCTTCTTTTTAATCCTCTATGTTTTATTCATTTAAAGACATTATTCTGAGAAGGGATCTATAGGCTTCATCAATTTACCAGTGAGTCCATGACACAAAAAATGTTAAGAACCCTTCTGCATAAGGGAAAATAGAGGGAGGAGCAGCCACCTGGGGACACAGAGGCCCATTAGCTGTGATTCAGAATCCAAATTGCTCATTCCAGTTGAAAAACTGCCTGTGTCTTAGCTTTCTGATTACTCAGAACTCTAAAAAAAAAAAAGCTATCTTAAGTTAATGCATAATTGATTATGGCGCATGACATGTAATCCTTCAGTCTCCTAACGAGTAGGTATTTTATTCATTCATAGCATAGGTTCATTGTATTTAAGGTTTCAAACTTAATTTTCTTAATGTGATCTATTTGATAAAAGTTCTCTATTATATGATTTTTATAATTTTGTTTTTACTTTAATCTTGATAACATTTAAAAAAACCCAAATCCTTACCTGTCATTGCTACCACTATTGCATGAAGTCATGACGTATTTTTGGAAGCTTACTACTGATTGAGTTGATGCTTTTACTACTCTAAAGTATTTAGGATATTTGTTTACAATCATGGGTTCATATTCTTCCCTTGGATGTATGTGTCTCTCTCCAATGAGAGTTGCATACTAAATATAAGGGCAAAATTTGATTTGTAGTCAAAAGTACTGGCTTAGAAAAGGATTTAGATATTTAGCCATAAAAGCAGTTAGGTGGCATAGTGGTTAGAGTACCAGGCATGGAGTTAAGAAGACATCTTCCTGAGTTCAAATTTGACCTCAGACACTTACTAGCTGTGTGACGCTAGGCAAGTCACTTAACCCTGTTTACCTCAGTTCCTCATCTGTAAAATGAGCTGGAGATGGAATAGCAAAACATTCCAGTTTCAAATGGGGTCACAAAAGAGTAAAGCATGACTCAACAACATTTAGCCATACATAGCTTATAGAGATCTTTCCTTCATAGGCTTTTGTTCATTTAATGTTTGTTTTTATTAAAAGTCATGTGTGTAATAAAAATATAAGGTTGCAGTGCTAAGAGCACAGATTTGGAGTATCTGGGTTCATATTCCACCCCTGTCGTTGACTCCTTCTTTGTACTTGGGCAAGTCACTTTTTTAAAAAAATTAATTTTTTGATTTATCAACAATCATTTCCATAAGCTTTTGAGTTTTAAATTTTTCTCCTCCTCCTTCCCTACCTCTCTCCCCAAAACAGCGCGCAATCTAACGTAGGCTATACATATACATTCTTATTAAACATATTTTCACATTAGTGATGTTATAAGTAAGAATTAGAACTAATAAGAGGAACCACCAGAAAGAGGAAACAAAACATAACAGAAGAAAAAAAATAGCAAATAGTATGCTTTGATCTGCATTCAAACTCCATAGTTCTTTCTTTGGATGTGGATAGCATTTTCCATCATGAGGCTTTTGGAGATGTCTTAGATCCTTGTATTGCTGAGAGGGGTTAAGTCTATCAAAGTCGGTCATCACTCAATGTGGCTGTTTCTGTGCACTGTGTTCTCCTGGTTCTGCTCACTTCACTCAGCATCAAACCATACAAGTCTTTCCAGGTTTATCTGAAGTCTGCCTGTTCATCATTTCTTATAGCACAATAGTATTCCATTACATTCATATATCACATTCACAATTATGATAACTATCTGTGTCTTTCTCTTCATCCTTCCCACCCCGTTTATGCTTTTCTTTCTCCTTTCTCCTTTTCCCTCCTCACTAATGTTTTGCTTTTGACCACCGTCTCCCTCAGTCCCATCTCCCTTCTATTAGCCCCCTCCCTTTTCTTTCCCCTTTTCCCTCCTACTGCCTATAGGGCATGTTAGATTTCTATACCTAACTGATTATGTTATTCCCTTCTTGAGCCAAATCTGATGAGAGTAAGGTTCAAACAATGCCCATCTCCCTCCCTTCTTTCCCTCTTCTGTAATAGGTTTTTGTGCCTTTTCCTGTGATGTAATTTACCCTTGTCTGCCTCTTCCTTTCCTTTTCTCTCAGTACATTTTCTTAGATCAGATTAATTCACTTACTTGGATCCATTTAACCCACTTGATTAGATTTTTTCCATCCTTATATCAAAGTCAATTTATACTCACCCCCTTTATGTATACCCCTTTAACATGGTGTAATAACAATACAGTTCTCAAGAGTTACAAGTGTCATCTTCCCTTGTAGGGATGTAAAGAGTTTGCCCTTATTA